AGGACAGGGGTGCCTGCCTCACAGTATTTGAGAATACGCTCAGCCACATTCTCCTGGGAGACTCGGGCCTCTATCCGCTCTTTGTTCTTTTTTTTCGAGTCAATTGCAAGTGGATTGGACAAAATGACCAACGCGTACGATGACGCCCTCTCCCCCCCCTCCTCCTGTTCCCCCCCCCTGCCCCCTCCTCTCCCCGCCTCTCTCCAGGTCTTGCTCCGCCGGCTGCTCGTGCTCCACGCCCCCCCTCCCCTTTGATTGGGATGCATCATCGGTCTCCCGCGCACCCTCCCGTGTGCATGTGAGTGTGTGTGTGTGTGTGCTTGTATGTGGCGAGTGAGCGCGCGCTCTTTGCCTCTCCCTCCCCCTCGGACGCGCGCGCTCACACACACGCACATGTGCACATGTTGAGCTCCTCCCTCCCCTCTCAGGGTGGTGATGATGATGGTGTGGCGGCTGGTGTCATGTATGCACGCATGGCGGAGTGGCCCGGAAAGCACTCTCGGGGCTCCCTTCTTTTAAGGGCCCCTCCTCCCACGCGTCTCCCCGGCAACGATTCCCCCTCCCTTGCCTTTCCCCCCCTCACCGCGCCGGCACGCACACACACGCACACGGCCTTCTGACTTCCTCCCCCGGTCTCTCCCACCACCCTTCCCTCTCACGCGATGTCCAGTCAGGTCACCGTCCCCGAGACTATTCTCAAGAAGCGCAAGACTTACTCCGCCTTCAAGGCTGAGCAGCTCGCCAAGCGCGCTGGCCGCACCAAGGCCCGCAAGGCTGCCCGCAAGGACATCTTCAAGCGTGCCGAGTCTTACGTTGCTGAGTACGAGAACGCCGAGAAGGACATCATCGCCAAGAAGCGCGCTGCTCGCGATGTCGGTTCTTTCTACGTCCCTGAGACCCCCAAGCTTGCCTTCGTTGTCCGCCTCCGTGGGTGCGTCCGCCTGGGTTCGCGCGCGCGTGTGTGTGGCCTCGGATGTGCCTTTCAAAAGCTGCATCCGATGCGCCCCTCCGCCGCCACCTTCCTCGCCTCTCCCCTCCCTCTTCGGGGGTGTCCTTGCTAATGTGTGCTGACCCGTGTGCCCGTGCCTTCGCGCGCTCCCTCCTCTCCTCCGCCTGCCTCCCCCTCTCTCTCAGTATCAACGGTGTGAGCCCCCAGTCCCGCAAGATCCTCCAGCTCTTCCGCCTTCTTCAGATCAACAACGGTGTCTTCGTTAAGGTCAACAAGGCCACCCTCAACATGCTCCACCGCGCCGAGCCCATGCTCACCTACGGGTGCGTGTCCCTCTCCGTCCTCTTCCGTCTCTCTGCCTCTGCCGCGGTGACTGACCCCTTTGACGTGCCATCTCCCCTGCGCCCGCCCCTTCCCACCGCCGCGCCACACACCCGCACATGCGTACTCCCGCGCCCACACAGCTACCCTTCTCTGAAGACCGTCCGTGAGCTCATCTACAAGCGTGGCCATGTCAAGGTTAACAACCAGCGCGTCCCCATCACCGACAACGCTGTCATCGAGGAGAACCTCGGCCAGTACGGCATCATCTGCGTTGAGGACCTCATCCACGAGATCTACACCGTCGGCCCCCACTTCAAGCAGGCCTCCAACTTCCTGTGGCCCTTCAAGCTCTCCTCCCCCAAGGGCGGTCTCCGCAAGAAGACCACCCACTTCATTGAGGGCGGTGACTTCGGCAACCGCGAGGAGAAGATCAACGACCTCGTTGCCGCCATGAACTAAGCAGGCCTTCCCCTGGTCTGGGGGCTGGCTCTGCTCGTAGCATGTCGTCCATACGTGTCTCCCTCCCGCGCGCGCGCACCGCGCGTGGGAAGACGGAGTGAGACTCTCCTGGGAGAGAGTGCGTGTGTCTGTCCCATGTCCTGCCCCTCCCCCTCCTCCGCACGCGCGCGCGCGCGCCCTCCTCGCCCCCCTCTCCCCCCCCCGGTGTGGGAGCGTGGAGCGCCGCCGCCGTGTGTGGTCGAGGGCCCGGTCGTGTGTCTGCCCTCGCCCTCTTCCCTCCTCCTGCTTCCCTCTCGCGCGCCACGTGTGCTGGTTCGTGCCTGTGTACGCGCGCGCCCGTGTGGCGCCCTCCCCCTCACTAAACACTCTGCCCCGGTCCATGCCAGTATCATCCCCCGCGTTCGTGTGTGTGTGTGATACCCCGCTGGCGGTGCGTGCGGATGTTGCGGCCCCTCCTCCCTCAATCCCTCAACGTGTGCCCCCTCCGGGTGGGGGCGAGAGTCGGGCGGGGGGGGGGGCTCTCTCCTCTCCGCCGTCGGCGGGGGCTTGTCTCTTTCTTCTTTTCCCCCCCGCTGTCTTGCATGCCCGTTGAGACGTGCGCATACGCTCGCGTGTCGCCGCCACCGTGCGTGTATGTTGCTATATACGAAATACATCTGTTACCCAACAGCGCGCCTTCTCGTGCGCGCGCGCGCCCGCCTCTCGCCCCCCTCTCCCCAGCGGCGACGCGGCTTTCCTCCCTTCTCTCTCTCTCTCGCCCTTCTTTTTGCTTCCTCCTCCTCTCCCTTCCTCTCCCCCCCTCCCTCCCAAACACGCATCAATGCGACTGGCGCTGCTGCTTCCCATCAGCTTTGCCTTACATGCGATGCAATATTAAGCAACTATTGCCCGGTCATTTGAGTGTGGACAATGAATGTTCAGTTTGTTGTTCATAATTAATGTTCCAGACATGCTTTTTTCTCCCCATATATGCGCACACGCCCCTTCCTGTTCATCTCGACAGGGGGGTGGTGTGGCGTGCGTCTCTCCCGCTCTTTCTTTCATTTTTGCAGCTCAATAATTGAAATGGCAGCGGGTGGGCCGGGCCTCCCCAGGGGATGGCCAGCACCTGTGTGTGTGTGTGTGTGTGCATGGGGGGCGGGGGAGAGGGGAAGAGGGGAGCGCGGACGGTCGCAGCTGTACCCGTACCAAGGGCCCTTGGACACGGAGCCCTCCCAGCCGAGAGGGGGGCCCTGCGTCCACCGTGCTTGGGCGGCGGGGGCAGGCCCGCGAGTCAGAGGGGGCAGGCGTCGCCGGGAGAAGGGGGAGCCGCCGCGCGTGCGTGATGGGCACCTCTCGCGCCGCTCTTGCGTCTCTCCTCCTTGACGGGAGGGGGGAGGGCGATCAGCGGACGGCCGTAGGAAAGTAGACGCCCGAAGTCCAGGGGGACCAGTCTGTCGTAGGCCGTCCGTGTGCATTTGGCTCAGCCTTCCGAACACACGCACGTGCGCGCACACATGCCGGACGGCGCGCCTGGGTGGTTCTCCCTCCGCCTGCTGTGCACGGCCAGACGCGCCTGCCTCGCGGTCGGAGCCGCGCGCGGTCGCGCCCCCGCCGCGAAAGCCACCGGCCGGGTTAATGCAATCACCGTTAACTCAATACGCCCTTGCCCTTTTGCTGCACACTCGCCCCGGCTCCACACCGGGATTTGCGTCGAGTCCCGCGGCGGTCCCCCGCTTTTGGTCTGAAGGTGTAGACCCGCCGTTGGTAGTTGCGCTTGGTGGCGAAAATCCGTTAGCCCAGGGTTCGGGTGTGGGCGCGTGCCGGATTGGCTTGGATGCGCAACACCTTCCGCCTCCGGTTTCAGTCGCCCAGCCCCCCCCCCCCCCAGACATCTCGGCCCCCCCGCCCGCTCCCTCAACACCGTCACGTTGAGGGGGCTTGCGCCGGTGCGTGTGTGTGTGTGTGTGTGTGTGCATGGGCGTGGGCTCGCTGCTGGGTCTCTTGCTGCCTGGTCCCTTTTTAGCCCGGATCAGCGACCGGCGCGGGGCTGGGCGCTTGCACGCGTCGCAGCCAGGGCGGTAGGAATCCCCCCCTCCTCATTGGACAATCGGACGACCAAACGCAAGGGGGGGATAGCAGGACATTCTCGCGAGCGTGGCCAGGAGCGTGTCCCCCTCCTGCCCGCCCCTGTATCGCTCAAGGCGCGCCCCGTCGGCGGCATGAATGCACCCGGCTACCCCGTGAGTGTGGCGCAGGGTCCGGGGTACGAAGTCGCTCCGGGGACGAGAGGACGAGGGGG